TACTCTCTTTAGTCGCCTCTTACGATTTTCATGAGAACTTTTCCCGTCTTATGTCGGAATTACTCGGTTGATATAGGCTAGTTTCCTAAAAAAATTTTTTTAGTCCGTCATGTTTAATATCAAAAAATATTGGACACATATATTTTTATTTGTCAATCTAACAAATAATTACATAGTTATGGTGCGTTGAAGTTCCGCACGACGTCACAACGTGCGGCACTTTTATGCACGCATTGACGTCACGGGCCTCTTCTTATGAACTTTGGCGCGCTTTATCTCTTTCAATTTTCATTAGTTTGAAAAAGTGAATAATACGTGTAGAGTATTTTTTGATAAGTTAACTGACGGACTAATTAAAACTCTTGCTTTTTGACCCAGGAAACATCCCCATTGCCACGTAGTGTTATGAATGATGGACTACGTATACTTCTAGTAGTGGGTTTGATATAGGCTGAAACTATGATGATGATGAACGTTTGAAAAGTGGACTCTTGATTTCAGACGAATTAAATTCTTTGTGCGTTTTCTTCAAATTATCTTGAGATCATTGTGACTCTTCTTCTTCGAATGGTTGTTCATAGTAAGGTAGTTTATATGCAAAGCGTGCTGCAGAAAGTTTAGTAACTATCCCAGGTTCTCTAATGGTTTATCCGCTCGCCATTCTTCACGTCAGTAAACCTCACGAGGGCAGCTGTAAAAGGGAACGGAAACAAATAAACGTTACGACAAAGCAGCAACTAACCGCAAATATTGCTGAGATTAGCTCAAAGCCTTATAATATTACTTTTACTTTAAATAACAGCTTTATACAGGACTAGCGGCCGCCCGCGACTTCGTACGCGTGGATCCCGTTTAAGGGGGTACCCTTAGGCTGGTTTTAGTGTCACGCGGACCGTCCGGTGCGGACCCGCTCCGCACGGCCAATCTGTATGAACTTCTAAGGAGCGTTTTAGAGTAATGCGGTCCGGAGGAACCGCTCGGTCCCTAGCAGTTCATACAGATCGGCTGTGCGGAGCGAACCGCACTGACCTGACTGTCCGCGTGACACTAAAACCAGCCTTAGGGGTGGAGTTTCGTAAAATCCTTAGGGGATGCCTACGTCATAACATCTACTCCATGCCATTTTTCAGCCCGATCCGTCCAGTGGTTTGGGCTGTGCGTTGATAGATCACTATGTCAGTCAGTCAGTCACCTTTGAGTTATTATATTTAGAAGATACAGGGATCAAAGAGGATGAAAACAAGGATGAAAAATAGTTTTTATTACTGTAAATATGAGCTGTAATTTAAAGATTCCTTTGATAGTATTATTACGGTAGAGTGGTTGCTCGTTGTAATGAAATTATTTTCTACTACAAGGGGTAAGGGCTCTTTTCAATGGAGACCTCCCGTTTCTTTCAAGATCCCGTTTTATGCATAAATCGTAGTAATAGACATGATGACACCACCAATAATTCACGTACTTTTTAAAACTGTAAACGAAACTCTCCCATAGATTTTGTATGGCACTACAAGCAAGTAAAGTCACTTTTTTGTCAAGTGAAAACTACTTTTTTCAATAACAGTGAGACCAAAAATCGTAATTTTCAGGTAATTTAAAATTAATTAGGTTTTTAAGACCAGAATGAAGGGTCTTTTAGAAAAGTTGTGATTTCGAATTATTGGGTAATGGTGTCGTTTAAATAGTCGTTTTGTTAGGAAGTGGTGTTACGTAGTCTGTGCCCGTATCCTCGGTAGAGCCAGGTACAGGTGCGTTGCCGGCACTTTAATGTAAGTAAGTACACCAAACAAGGCACAATTATTTAAACCAGTGTTCCGCAAAGGGAGTACCGGGGCACTCTGGTGTACCGTGGTCTTTAGATAGTAACCTCGGAAAAATAAGGTTATCTTATAAACTTATTTTTAGTAAGTAAGTAAGGGTAATCCGTCAGCCAGCTGAAGTGGCAATGGGCAGGGCACATAGTGCGCAGAACTGACGGCCGATGGGGCAGCAAGGTTCTGGAGTGGAGGCCGCGTACCGGAAAACGCGGCGTGGGAGGACCCACAAGGTGATGAAGGCGCTGGACGCAGGCTGCTACCAACCGGGCAACATGGAAAGCATTGGGGAGGCCTATGTTCAGCAGTGGACGTCCTATGACTGAGATGATGACGATGATGAAGTAAGGGTAAGACTAATACAAATGGACTTTGCATGTGTGGTGTACCTCCAAAAAAATTCCTAGATGTACCTTGAATACAAAAAGTTTGCGGAACACTGATTTAGACAATCTTATTGCTATAAAGCGATCTATAAAATATTTCAAGAATGATTTACTTTTGATTAATGAAAACGGTCTATAAAATACTTAAAAAACAATCAATTTACTTTTAATATGATCATTTTTTATTTCTGACTCATGATGATTCACAAAACGTGTGTCAACTCTAAAACACGCATTTAATTGAATGTCTATAAAAAGATAACATATCTCATTAGCACTACTATAAAAAGTAAACAATATTATCTTTTTGCGTAATATAAAATTAAGTAATCATTTGCCTTGGCATGAATTGAATGATCTAGTTCAGATAATGTTTTTAAGAAGTTTGTTTACTAATAGTTTTATTAGTCATACATACTGCATCAAATAGTCATCACCAACCTACAGATTTTGAGTTCGATTCCTAAATAAATTACGTCACGTAAGGTGTAAAATAACTTTGTAGTTCCATGTTGGGAAAGAAACCAGCTTACTAAGGCCCGCTTTCCACCAAGGCGGAGTGGAACAGAGAAGTTTTTTTAATAACCAATCAGATTTCATTACTTCCACTTCTCTCCTCCGCTCCGCACGGCTCCACTCCGCGCGGCATGCCGCCACCCGTCGAGGGTGACTTTTTCCATTCAAAATTTTTCTCCTAACTGATATTTCTTTTTGGATAGCAATACAACTTTGTGGAAATAGCTGCTATAATTATGTGCAAGTAATATTTACGTATTTTTTCTATCTCCTGAAAACAAAAAAAAAATGCAGATAATTGCCGCTCCGCTTCGCTCCACTTTGGTGGAAACCGGGCCTAAGTGCCAAATACAGCCTAGGGAATGTATGCCAAATCCTTCATTTGTCTCTGGTAAATTAGAGAGAGCTCGCTCCTGAAGTGGAGACTAAATGACCTGGTGATGAAAGCTGCTAATAAATTTTATTAATACACTAGCGGCCGCCCGCGACTTCGTACGCGTGGATCCCGTTTTACCCCCTTAAAGGTAGGTGGAGTTTTGTAAAATCCTTTCTTAGCGGATGCCTACGTCATAACATCTACCTGCATACCAAATTTCAGCCCAATCCGTCCAGTAGTTTGGACTGTGATACAGGTGAAAACTATAGGCCCTGTCCAACTACATTGTATTTGTAAACTGTTTGTAAATTTATTTTTACTTTGTAAATACTTATTTAGTGATTCAATTGCTCTACAATAAAATAAAGGTATAAAATTGCGATACAATATAAAATACTAATAGCATCTATTACATTATCTTGATTAAATGGACATAGCAATTGAAGAGAAAACGTGCGAGATAAGAATACTGCAAGGATTGAAGATGATAAAGCTAAAGTGCCTTTTGTATTGATTGTGTAATTTCTTATTATCGTACATGATGAAGAGGATTGTATAAGTATCATTACATTATCTCTATGCGTGTCTCTTCTGAGGATCAAACTCAGAAGTTTAGCAAGTCCTATTCGATTATTTAACCACTAGGCTGGTGGAGTGGATGAAACATGTAAAGATTGAGATATTTCGCGCATGAAGGGTTCTGTACTAGCATTAAGAATCATCTATTAGTTGTAGCTACCTTATTTGCACCCACCAGTTGATGCCATTGATTAATGAGAGTCCTCCGCCTGGACATGTGCTCCCCTGACCTACCTGGAAGTCTTTAAATAGACTTCAGACACAGGTCGGCGGTAGTAAGGATAATCTGTTCAGGTGGGGATTCTCGGATGACTCAAACATCCGAGAATCCCCATATAACGCGCGCGCCGCTCGAGCGGCNTCCACGCCCTCTTTCTTCCACCACAGATTATTTATTTATCGTATAGAGACATAGAGTAGTCTGGAATGTACCTGTTATCTAAATGGTCGCAGGTTTTTTAATACTACTACTACACAGTTTTTTTTAAGGGACGCGCGCTTGTAGCTTGAAGAGCTTTTCCAGCTTCACCGGGCAGAGTGGCGAGTACAGAAGGTACTCTAGCCGTTTGGCGATCGTCGGTGCGCGTGCCGACGAGGCCGAGTGTGGGCAGACCGACGTTCGCGATCTTTTAAAGGTCTTAGCGCCTCCCCTGGGGGGCGCGCCCCCACTTTGGGAACCTTTTATAGGGTTACTATAATAATCATCAGGTCATTTAGTCTCCACTACAGGAGCACGCCCTCTAATTTACCAGACGCAAATGGAGGATTTAACCTACACTCCCCACGCTGGCCAGACGGGTTGGGGAGGCCTGATGTTCGCATGTTTGTCTCTTAGTCGCTTACGACATCCACGGGAAGAGTGGGAGTGGTGTATTTATCTGCCTATAGTAATTCATCATCATCATCAATCATTTCGATAACTTCGAGATCGCTTCATAGGGATAAGACCGCCTAATTGTACCTTGTGTGTTCCTTTTCTTCTGTTATGTTATTTGTTTGGTGTTGTGCAATAAAGTGTATTTATTATTATTATTATTATTTCAGCCATAGGACGTCCACTGCTGAACATAGGCCTCACCTAATGCTTTCCACGTTGATCGATTGGTAGCGGCCTGCGTCCAGCGCTACCTTTACGATATCGTCGGTCCACCTTGTAGGTGGACGTCCCACGCTGCGTTTTCCGGTACGCGGCCTCCATTCCAGAACCTTGCTGCCCCATCAGTTCTGCATACTATGTGCCCTGCCCATTTCTACTTCAGCTTACTAATCCGTCGGGCTATGTCAGCGACTTTAGTAATTATAATTACGCGCGCGCCGCCCGAGCGGCAACACTAACGGAAGACTACGCTGCTAAATTTTTACTCTTAAAAATGGATAAAGTTGTCGATATACAATAATTTTTTGATTAAAAGACTCCTTAAAACATAAACTATTGAACAGTGCATCTAAACAAAGTGTAAACAATAATTTATAAGTGTTAATAAACATAATAATACCCGCTATACAGTGCAAAACAGTGCGTATTTGAGTGCGGTATCTGTGCGTGCGCCGGCCGTCGTGTCCTTGGAAATAGAAAGTTCGCACATCATTACTCACCGACTACACGCCGTGCTTATTTGGGTAGCGTAATTTGGACACGGCTAAGTGAGAAGCGTTGGCTCGGTGGAAGAAACACGCACTAACAACACGCGGTGCCCCAAGATCGAATCCCGTACAAAGAATATTTTTTTCTTCTTTTTTGGTTTTGTTTTCTTTTTCTATTTTATAATGTCTACCAAAATGAAAAGGACACCGCCTCCAACACCGAAAAAGGCTACTGATTGCCATAAAGACCAACAGTCCTACGTGACAAACAGGCCTAACAAGAGACAGGCTATGTCAACGTCTCCCAATTCGCAATCAGGTTCCATGCCAGTCACACAACAAGATGTACGAGAAATAGTGATGCCAGGCACACAACAAGATGTGCGAGAAATAGTGACGCCAGTCACACAACAAGATGTGCGTGACATAGTGAATGAGGTTGTGCAAACACAGATGAACCTTTTTATGATACAGATAGGCGAAACTATTTCACAAACTATTTCAAACACTATCAATAAGGAATTATCTTCATTAAAACAGGAAATTGAATCTGTCAAAAATTCAATGGATTTTATCAATGAAAAGTTCGAAAACGCTAGCAAGAATCATGAAACTCTAACGAAGGAGGTGGAAAATGTCAAGATGGAAAATAGTGCGTTGCAGAGNAATAGAGATGAAACGGATATCCGGCAACTATCCGGTAGGCCGGATATCCGGCCTAAATTTACTATCCGGCCGGATACCGGATAGTAACTCACTATCCGGCCGGATACCGGATATTAAAAAACTACGACAATTTCCTATTAATAAAATGAAATACATTAATCTTTGAGGTAAATATCAATAAAATGGCTTATAATAATGACAACTTATAATTAAAGTCCAAAAAGTTACAAAAAAGCCATATTAAGGCCTTTAAAAAAACCAATTTCTTTTTCTGGGCTATTCACTCTAATGACGAATACATAAATAGTAAATATCTGTGAGAGTAGGCGCACACCGTTGATTTTTCGTCGACCGATAGTTTAGTCGGGCAGTTGATCAGTATGAGCATGTATGGGAGTGCGCACACTACGCCGATTCGATTTGGCCGACTAAATAGTTGAAATACGATTCCCAACTGCCTTCCAACTAAAGTATCGTCCAACTATCGGTCGATAGCTTGATCAGTACTACGGCGCACCTCTACGCGCGCGCACACCGGCCGATTTTTCGTCGTCCAACTCGGCCGATAGCTTCAGTTTGCTCCGCGTTTTTGGCGGGAAAGGTCGTCATTATAAAATATTACCGAACTTATTTATTACTAATTAATTAATTTAAGTAGTTATTACTCTCGATTTCACTTTTTCATGATAATATCCCTTTCATGTCCTACTAATATTGAAAAAACTTTATAAATTTGAGCTGATTTTTATTAAACTTTTTTTCTTTGTTGTATCAAACTGAATTTCATGCAGGTGAAGCCGCATGTATGAGTTAGTTAAGTATAAAAAAAATATTTCTAGGAAACATTCCACGCGACTTCTTCAACAGCTTCTATCGAATGAAACAATCAGCCCGATTTTAAATCGGCGGTCTGCGCACCCACGCCCGATACAACTGTTTAGTTGAATCAGTGTGCGCACTGAGAGCCCAACCCGACTGATAACAATCTGACGAAAAATCAACGGTGTGCGCCTACTCTTAGACTGGGCGCAAACCACTGATTTTTAGTTGACCGATAGTTGTGCCCGATTTTAAATTGTATGAAGAATCGGCCAAATCAAATCGGTGTAGTGTGCGCACTTCCATACATGCCCATACTGATCAACTACAACTACCCGACTAAACTATCGGCCGACGAAAAATCGATGGTCTGCGCCTAAGCTAAATGTCGAAATATTGCCAAACTAGTTGCCAAATAAAATAGGCGATCTTTTTTTGACATGATGCTGTTCAGTCAGATTACGCAGCAAGTACCTAAACTAATTTAATTTTCGCTATTCAATCACGCACTCACGATGGCAACCGAAATCGCTCGAATTGATCTTCCCCCTAGACAAGTGGCAAAATTTGACATTATATTCGGACGGATTCGATTTTCAAAAAGTGTGACTAGTCTAATCTACTAATAGACCCACTGATCGCGTTCGAAGCACCTGTGCGGCGCTAAACTCGTCACGACATGCAACGAGACAATGGACTAACTATCCGGCCGCCGGATATCCGGCTATCCGGCCTAGCGGCTGGCCGGATATCCGGTATCCGGTATCCGGCCAAACAACTATCCGTTTCATCTCTAATCAATGTTATCATTTGATGATGTAAAAAATATCAAATTAAAAAATTGTTCAAAACATAGTAAGTAAGTCCATGATTGTTCATGAGTGAGTTCGTACTCCAATCCAACTCTCACTTTGCTAATTTTTTATTTTTGGTGGCTGTGCCCACAACCTTTTTTGAGGGCTGGATCCGCGCCTGCAAGAGGTGTTATTTGTGCACATGCAACCCTTCACCTCAAGACCTTTTTAACAAGATCTATTGACTTTGAACAGGACAGCAGCTATTCCTGACCCTAAAATATTTCACCAACAAAACCAAAGTCACCACAGAAACTTGTCACAACATGCTTGTAGTAGTACTTTTTCACACATCAGTTTTGCATTCAATGTCACAGAAAACTATAAATACACACGTACTAGAACACTAAGTATGCCGTTTTCACTGAACAACATCCATTTATGTAGAATGTACAAGAAATAAAGTACTTTTCATCAACTTAGAAGTAGGTAGCGTCCCATGCACATACACACTGAAACTCGCAACAGATCGTACAAATTAATATAGTTTAAGGGTACTGATCGCACTTCTGAACTCTATAAAGACTGAATTTACTTAATAACCACATTTATTAGCAAACTTGAACATTAAAACATTTAGCATTAATATACGCGCGAAAATACCGAAAAGTCAAGTGACAGATCGTAGGTAGTGAAGTGCACGAGTCATCGATTGAATAGTGATGGAATGCGTAGATTCGATTTAACCCGCTAACACTATGTAGGTATTCAAAATTACAATTATTACAATAACAAAATATTAATTACTTAAAATAATATCTACCTAATCATTAAAATAAAATAATAAGGAACCATTTGGTTATTGCAGGATCTTCTGTAGGTATTTCAAATTACAAAATGCGCGTTGTCTCCCCACCGCCCCCTCAAGCCCTCCGCCGGCCTGGCGCGCCCATCGAATACATTTTTAGCCGTTTCGTTTTGACTAATGTGCACATTAGCCGGCTAAAGATGGAATATCACGACACAAACTAACATGTTATCGAACTTTAGCTGCTTCTCGAAGATAAACTTAAGTTTAGCCGGCTAATCTTAAGTTTATGTTCACAACTATCTTTAGCCGTAACATATCGATTTTCAGAAGACCTTGGACGTAACGTCACTTCACGTTGTAGTCAACGCTAACACGCAGACTCAGTGTCGGTTAGCGACACGTATGCAAGAGGATGTGTAATTAGGATGATGACTGGGTAATGAAATCGAAATTCTATTTCGACAATAAAAAATATTGGACACGTATTTTTTCATATTTTTTTTTCATAATCTGTATAGTACTATCTGTATAGTAATACTGTAAGTATTATATTGAGTTGAAATGTAGCGTGACGTCACTTTTGAATAAAAAAATCTACTCAAAAGTGACGTCACGCGACAATTTAACTCGATTTAGCACTGTTATTATTTAACTATGAGATAAATTAAAAAATACGTGTCTAATATTTTCTAATAATCTGTCTGTCTGACGTACAAACAATTGAAATTTTGTCATCTAGCCTATTATTGCTTATAATCATCATCAACATTGCAGAGCAGTGTAACGGAACTGACAAATAAAATTAACTTCCTGGAACAAAATGCGCGAATGAACAACGTGGAGGTGCAGTGTGTACCAGAAAACAGGAATGAAAATCTGAACTCCATTATAATGCAGATTGCAAGAACAGTGGGTTGCAATCTTACAGAGGAAAATGTACTTCACTGTGCTCGCGTTGCTAAAGGCGACAAGTCGAACACCCGTCCCAGATCCATAATTGTTAAACTGTCATCCACTAGGATACGCGACGACCTTCTAGCAGCTAATATTAAGTTCAATAAATTAAATAAATCCAATAAATTGAACTCCGGACACATTGGTATTGCAGGCGAAAAACACCCAATTTACATCATGGAACACTTATCACCCGCAAACAAATCTTTACATGCGGCGGCCAGGATTAAAGGCAAAGAAATAGGATATAAGCACGTGTGGGTCCGGAATGGCAGAATTTTTATGCGCAAGACTGATGATTCTGCATACGTCTTGATCNAGAAAACATTTAGCATTGATATACGCGCGAAAATACCGAAAGTCAAGTGACAGATCGTAGTGTAGTGCACGAGTCATCGATTGAATAGTGATGGAATGCGTAGATTCGATTTAACCCGCTAACACTAGGTAGGTAATTAGCTGGTAAAATTGATATGTTTGAATTAAATTTTCACGTAATATAATCTCTTTAAAATCTGTTCGTTCCAGTAAGCGGCACACATACTTTAAATGAATTGCTTCGAGCGAAACTCGCAATTGCCTTTATGTTATATTAATTTAATTTCGAGAATGTACTCATAATTCGTGAAACTAAAAAGCTACATTTGCGGATGTTTCAGAGATATTTAATTTATCTTTTGCACTTATGCTTATGAGTAACGTAGTTTTAAATAAATACAACAGGCAGGTGCATCATACAATTATTAACATTTTACCTAGAGATAAATTATGTACCTACTTGGGACAATTTGTAAGAAACTTCTGTTTATTTTCTCAGCCTCTGCAACTTTAAACGAACTATACTGACGCATAATGCATGACGCCTACAAATCAATGGTAACCTTTACTACTCTTACTTACAAATAAAGTGTATAAAACTGCCGAATTTTGTACATACGTTTTTGTATGCACACAGTTTTACTTTTAATTTCAGTTTAAAATTGAATCCCTTCGACATTTACCTATCTATTAGTGTCAAGATAGTCCCCTGTCACCGCGCAGTATGGTAGAGACATATTGAGCGAAAGCGAGCGAGTGGTTAATGCATTAATCCCTCGAGACCGATGGTGGGACTTCAATCGTAGTTTGAGATCCTATATGGTTTATAATATTGTTTGTTTGGATAATGAATAAGATTGTGCTAGGGTGCTCACATACTTATTACTTAGTTACTTATAATAAAAGTTACAAACTAGTGGAACCCTGTTTTATAGTGACATTTAGTACAGAAAAGTCAACATGAACATGACCGAGGAAACTCTGTGCAGATTCTGCCAAACAGAAGAAGAAACGGCCATGTATGTATGTTCTTTGCTCATGCGGCCCGCTTATGAGCAAAAGAAGTATCCATCTCGGGCGACACATCATGCACCCGGATGAGATAGTAGATATCACGCTTCAAAGAATCTGGATATTTATAGACTCAACGGGACTAAGCGGTGAACTCTAAAGACAAGGGCTGCCACAATAGAAAAAAACCTGGTCGAGCTGGCGCAAATGAAGGCCCAAAAAAACAATAATAATAAATAATAGAAAAGTCACTTTAAAACAGTATGTGTAACTTTTTACCAATAAGGATTAGTCTACTCGTACGTAATAATAACGGCGTTGTTTTTTCAGACGATTTGACAACGGCCAAACTCATGAATTTCCAGCGTCAATAGCTCACGACTGAAAAACAATTGGTACTCAAAATGTTACATTATCGGCATAGGTACTGACACTATGATAACTAAAACGAAAAGTACTTAATTACTAGTTAAATTAGTTCGGCCTTAAACGTATTTGTCTGACCTATAGGCTAATCGAATCACGCCAGACACCAATTAAAAAATAATAAAACTGAAATATTTTCTCTACATCGCTTCACGCCGTCCCCCACTCTATTACCGTATATCAATTAGAAAATTGCGAGTTTCCAATTCACAAACAGTTTCGAACTGAGCTGAGCGAGCGAGCGATCCACGATTTAATCCCTCGCGGCCGTTTTATAGCGCCTCCACTACACGCGGGTTTCGTTTAGTATTCATGAAATCAATTCCACTTCTTTTTCAATTGACGTGATTAAATTTGCTGGAGTATGCTGGTGAAATAAACCAATAAGTACTAGATAATTGTGTTTATCACTCTCACTGAAGGTAGATGACCGAGAGAAAAAAATGCAAAAGAAATACGCAGTTGCAAAACTTGCGCGTACCGAAATTTGAACTTGGTACATTCACCTCTGTCGTCATCCCTCATAAATCTTTATCACAATTACTGAAAGATAAAATGCATTGATAGCATACTTGCAGGGACAGGGTAGCTTAAGTGGGACTCCCTAAGTAAGAAAAACGAGTAGGTAATATGCAAAGACCTCGGTGATGAGTCACTCGCCGTAAGTGGGAGGAAACTGTGGAATTCCAGACAAAGCTTTCTCTACCACAGTTTCACCGCGATTGCCCGCCTACAGGGTAGGTCCTACAAGTCCCCCAGAAGGTGAGACGTTATTGAGTATCCAATCTCCTTTATATTTTTTGTTCTGTGACAGGAGGCAAACGAGCAGTCGTAACGTATGGTTCGTGCGTGGTTGTTCATGATGGTAATGTTTCGTAATAGAACCATCTAGAACACAGAGGAAATACTAAGGCACTTCGAAACCACCTTAAGCTACACTAACCTCTAGCATCATCCCTGGTGCCTAGCACCGAGGCGATCTGCGGCCGCTCCTCGTTGATGACCAGCTCGGCCTGCTCGCTGTACACGCTGTGCACCGTCGAGATGCACGTCAGCCGCAGCTGCCCCCTCTCGAAGCTGTCCGGCCTCACCATGAAGGACAGCTGGCTTATTGAGGCCACCTGCGGAACGTTCCTTGATTGATTCCTTTTCAAACGAAAGGCGTCCACTGCTGGACAAAAGCCTTCTTAAGAATTTCAAAGGCCTCCTCAAGGATTTCTTGACAAGTAACATAGAAACTGGTGGGAATAGTTATTGATACCGCCTGAGAAAAGTTCTTTGAATGATTTATTTTCAAACAAAAGGCGTCCACTGCTGGACAAAAGCCTTCTCAAGAATTTGAAAGTCCTTCCTAAGGATTCCTTGACAACAGACATAAAAGTAACATAGAACTGTTTGAAATAGTAGTGACATTTGCACTGTTGGACAAAGGCATTCCCCAAAGATTTTTTAATAACAGGCCACCATGTCCCCATGGTTGGTTCAAAGACCTTTATTGCAACTTCTTACATCCCAACATAGCTTTACACCAGCCTTGGCTTTTCGATATTAACTCCTTTATTATTATTAACCTTCTTATAGTTGTTGCAATTCATGAAGGCGAGTGAGCTTTACATGTGTGGTGACCCGCTACTGTTCGTTTTTCAAAAGTCTTGATAGACATTGCACTATCGTTATGTGCATGTACACGTACACACACAAGTAAAGGTCACTCGCCTTCGTGAGTTGCAAGAACTTATAAATATTTACCTTATTTGACGTCTCAGTAGTGGGCATGGGGTCAGTTGCGTCTTCGTCCACTGAAGTGAACTGATGCCTCGGAGTAGGCAACACTACCGTATCCTGGCTGGGCAGGAGTTCACCATCCTGAGAACAAACAAACACCGAGTGAGTCAATACTGGTTGGTCAACGGATTTGTATAATAAACATCTTTGTAGTAAACATGCCCAATTTTTCATAACAGAAATGTAATCCGCCAGCAACTCAATGAATCCCTTTAATATATTAGAGTCAAGTGTGAAATTGGTTTGGCTGACTTGCTAAGTGCATCAGTTGAATGAAACGCACATGCACTAGATGGCACGTATGTGCATCCATTTACAGCGTTAGCAGAGGTTCCGTCTTTTAGTGACTGGGCAGCTCCATTTGTCCTCTAAGTTCATGGCTATGCATTATAGTATTTGCTAATAGGATAGTGGCCAACAGAACGAACTACACGTTCAAGCTATTTACTTCTTTATATATTTTAAGTTACACCTAAAAAGATGTACCCATGTATTGTAATAACACACTTCGCACAGCCCACAAATTTCCAAAACTGATAATTAAAACCGGAGCGTTGTAAACCCGCTTTATGATTTACACTCGCAACTGAAAGTAATTTATTACCTTTGTTCCAGCCTCAAATTCCTGGCAGATCGAGATCGCGCCATCGTTACTGCGTAATTGGCCGGCGACGTTGACAAATGGATGCTTACCAGAGATACTGTGGCGCAACAAGATGATACAGTTTTATGAAGGACTAGCAGACGCCCTGGAATCGCTTGGGCTGAGATATTGGCAGAATGTTCCTAGGCCAAACATCATATCAGCTGGCATCTTTTATAACTAAGTTGTAGATAAAGATATTTTGCAACGTCCACAGCTGGAGAAATGCCTTTCCCAAGGAGTCGTGCGCTACTTACATCCAGGTGCTTCTCGTGACTTTCTCCAGCCGGGGGAAGATGCGCGCCGTCTTATCGATGATTTTAGGCGACAAACGTATGAGTTTTTCGCGAAAAATCGACAAAATTTCACGATAAAAGTTTATCGCGGCGCCCATCCTAGGCCTGCTGATCGTTGGTGTACCTAGCGGGACTAAACGTCTTAGTCTTTCCTGCCCCAACGGTCTTTTACGAGCTATGTGCCACACTCAGTTTTTATTTATGAACAGTACTCACCTAGAATACCTAATTTTTAGAATCAAAGTTTTAGTAAACTCACCACCTGGACATTGAACCCACAACTTCTGAATAAACAAGTCAAACTTTCCGGCTACTAGGCCATGCGGGCGTTATCTATCTATATATATAAAAGAAAGTCGTGTTAGTTACTCCACTTATAACTCAAGAACGGCTGAACCGATTTAGCTGAAAATTGTCAGGGAGGTTAGTTTAGAGCCAGGAGAAGGACATAGGATACTTTTTATCCCGTTCGAAATAAAAAAGTCTGCTTATTTATTGCCATTAAGGCGGAACAAAGTTCGCCGGGTCAGCTAGTTTATTTAAAATGAAACAAGGCAAGCAAGAAAGTTTCCAAGTTCCTTTACTTGCTAATGTTCATTACTTTGTTTTCGGATTGGATTGTTTATTTCGTTTATAATTATCGTGATTGGAGTATACGACTAATTAGTTAGATGTGACCTAACTAATTACATTAGAGGAAATGGGAACAGTTGTTTCTGTTGTTTAGACGGCAAACAAGGACGAAATGTTTTTGTTTACTTGAATAATAGAAGAGAGCTCTATCTAAATTTATATAATTCAAAAGTGACTGAGTGACTGATTGACTGACTGATATAGTGATCTATCAACACACGCAGGTAGATGTTATGACGTAGGTATCCGCTAAGAAAGGATTTTGCGAAACTCCACCCCCTTTTAATATACGAAAGTATAGTAAGTAGGTACTATTATCAGTGTGATAGGTATACCTAGTGCGGTGTACTGTATTCAATTAACCAATGAATTATCAATTTTATTTTTTTATTTTTATGGTGCATTTTGGACCGGTCATTGTGGAAATCCTTGAAAAAAAGTCACAGGTTGCCCTGATGACAAGACTACTCGTATAAACAATTTAAGAATAGTTAAAGAAATCCTTAGACTATTTAAAATCACAATCTCAAATTGCATTCACGGCTCACATTGAAGTCTTTTTCGCTTCTTTATCATTGCCTTATAAAAATATTTAGGTATGCAAACGTTCACAAAATGCCAGCCGAAACTCGGCGATCGTTATCTCAACAATGGTCGTGAAATGCGATTTTCTGGAGTTACTAGATTGTATGACAAGGCCTTTTGTATAATTGGTCATTAAACTGAGAGGCTCGGGTGAATCTTACGTTCAGATGTTCAGACTGGGACAGTTCTTAAGGAGCTTATGTTGTTTTGTTGCTTTGCTTGGCTCTTATACTGACGTATTTAGGATAATTTATTAGCGGAATAACTTTTTCCAGCGGTGTACAATTAAGCAAAGTATATCCTTCTGTGAATCAAATTATGAAAATTGAAACAGCACTAGTCACTCGTGCAGGGAACCGCCTACAGCAGTTTTGATCAGGTGTATTCATTGCTTTGGCAGACGTCTGCGTGACCTCGTACCTTCCACTTTACCCAGCAGCACAAGGTGCTCAATGGGTTGACAATGTCACTAGGCCTCCAGTCAAAATCGCCTATATGTGAAAGCGCTTTTATAGTTTTAGCGCGAGGGTTGCTGATACCAGGGTTGTGACTTCAGTGGTTAAAGCCCATATACGACAACAAAAGCTAAAAGTGGCAATGGCTTTTACTACCAACTTTAGTTTTATCTACGAGTCATTAACACGAAAGGTCCAAATGCCTTCCGAGTTCGGAAGATGACGTACACAAAAGAGCAAGTAGCTGGAAGTAATTAATTTTTAGTTTTATAATTATCACCAACCTGTATAGTATCCACGAAAGGTTCAAACGCCTTCCAAAAGGCTGAAGATGACTTACACAAAAGAAGAAGAAGCTAAAAGTAATTATACTTTAGTTTTGTAATCATCGCCAACCTGTATAGTATCCACGAAAGGTTCAAACGCCTTCCAAGGTCTGAAGACGAAGTACGCGATATATGAAGAAACTAAAAGTCGTTTCCAACCATTTTGAAGCCACGATAGCCGAACGGTGAAGGAGTCGGACTGGCCGACTTGTGATCCGGGGAACACGGTTTCGATCCCCGCCACCGCTCGACTGTTGTGGTGAGCTCACTCGTGACACAAGCATATTTAACTTAGTACTAAAGGCTAACGGGACTATAATATTTTAAAAAGGAAAATAAAAAAATCTTTTAGTTTTATCATCATTACCCACCTGTATAGTATCCACGAAAGGCCCAAACGCCTTCCAAGGGCTGAAGATGATGTTGCTGTTCTCGTCTCCTGCCGCCGATACGCTCCTGCCAGGAACGTCGATGGAGACGACTGGACTCGGCAGGATCCGTTGCTGGATGACTGGCTTGCCCTCGATCTGGGGAAGGAATTATTTTTAAAAGAACTGGCAAGTGAAAATGGAGTTTTTTTTGTAAGGATTGACAAGTGAGAGATGAGAGGAAAAAGCTAAAGTGAAGAATTTTTACAACAAGTGTAATTTAACTTGTCGTATACTGCTGTGATCTATCTATGTAGAAGGACTTAAATAATACTTATTTCATCAATAACGAATATTCTTATAAAATAAAACAAAAATAATTTTCATATAAATGTTGACAAGACCATAGACCATATTTATATGATTCGCACCGTGAAAAGTTTATCAGATTTTCATGTAGAGCCAAGCTTTTAACTCTACTTGATTAACTTTACATACTCTACACCCTAATCAAAATAATGTGGCATGGTCGTTATAAGTATTTTTATTTTATTAAAGACAAATTTATCAACATTCGCCTGTCTTTTTATAATTGACAATTGAACACACCTTTTTTCATCAAAAGTTAGACTGGGTTGCACCATCTTACTAACTTTGACTAACGTCAAAAAACTGTCAAACTCCATACAAAACGCACCGGTTATCGTTATAGTTACGGTCAAAGTTAGACGGTGCAACTCAGCCTTAATGTACTAAAGGTATTTCTCATTTTTAGCATTTTAATTGCAAATAATACCAATAAACATGGCCGCCTCTCCAAATTAGGTTGACATTTAATTTAACGACTTAATTGCCATTCGTCTTGCCGGCTTTGATGTCGTAATTATCCAGGACAAAGAACTATTGTTGATTGGGACCGCTGATTTGTAATTATTGCTTCTAATTGTTGGTTTTTCCCATTACCAGATTTAAATTGGATTGATGATTAAGGCAGGTAAGTAATTGAAAATACATAATAAATTATTTTTCTTTAAATCGGGTATAAGTAAGTGCTCGTATAGACCACGCGATGGTTTTACAAGCTAAAAACTCTAGTATTCTAAATGGTTTTGATGAGATTTTGGAACTGGAGGATCTTAGATGGATTGTCATCTGAGTCACAAATTGAAAATCTGTATTGTACAATTTGGAAATAGTTATGGTTAGGAATTTTTAACCTTAAAACTTACCTACAGGTTCTATCGTTTGAATAAAAAATTGATTCTTGGTACGGTTTGATTAATCGTCGCATATCAATCCGGTTAAGATCCGATATTGATTTGAATAAGGTAAAATGCATTTTACTGGAAATTACTTGTGAAAAGCGTTTGAGTAACATGATAAAAACATTTCGAATTCGTTCGGTCAGTGCACGCTACGCCTAACTGGATTCCCGTTGCTTGACGTGACAACACGACGTGTCGCGACATGCCATGATGGCGACATGGGGCCATCACGCGACACGACGGCGTGACGGCGACAACCGTCGACTAGTTGCGACAGCCGAGCACTTGTCAGCGGTCTAACATGCCCCAACGTGTTGGGAATTGCGTTAGGTTTATGAATTTTAATCAGTAGAGTTGCAAGGGATCTGTGAATTAATCGTGGTTAACTGTGTCCAAATTATGCGAGGCAATTGTGTGAGTCAAATTCACAAGATTTTAAGTTGTCATATTACACAAAATATTTTATTGTATAGTCAAAATGGATACCTAACCTTTTTATGTAAATATTCACAGAACATACTCAATATTACTTGAAATTTCAATTTCTTTATCTTAAATTGAATTTTACACTAATGAGTACCTACCTGCTAACGAACATAATAATTATATTATAATTACCATATTATAATAAGCCATTTAACAATATCAATAAAAATATGCATTATTTTTAAACTTATTTCCCAAACTGCTAAAAAATTATTACGTCATAAAATATTGAAAAATATATCCCCATTTTGACTTTACGTCAGGAAGGGCTTTCAAACTTGTAAATCTATTTTACTGCCCACAAAAGCAGGTCTTAATAAATTAGAGGCAGAATATCCTCCGCCCCGGACACCTGTAGATTTTAACGTTAACGTTATTCCAGAAACATAACTCAGCGGAAGGAGATCAAAGGCCTAAAGTCATGATTAGGAAGGTTCATTGAGATAACTATACAATTATTACAATAGCTAAGTAAATGTGAATCTGACATTGTTTAAAAAAAATAGTTACTTCAATGTTATTTGGTTGGGAAAATTCTGAAGGAGCTAAAAGTATCTATTAAAATGCAAGCAAGTTAGAGATTGTGTTAAAAAAACCAAGTCCATAGCATATTATATTTATTTTCATATAAGCATTTCTATTTTGTGGAATTTTGACATTAAGGCTGAGTTCACCACCTAACTTTGACCGTGACTATGACAATAACCGGTGTTTTTTGTATATAGTTTGACAGATTTTTGACGTTTGTCAAAGATAAAGCAAGATCACAATAAGATGGTGCAACCCAGCCTTAGTAACCATCGTGACGAAAGTTTATTGCAAAAAGACAAAATTTGTTAACCCTAAGAATGCGTCACATATTTTTAGGACTATACTCATTAGAATGCACCACACACATAAAAATAAAATGTTTATTTGATTCGAATGCATCATTCTCCATCACAAATCTGATACCAAATCATAAATTTTCATAACCCTTGTAGGGACAAGCAAAAATCCTCGCATTTATATTCATACGAACGCATTGCTATTACCTTTTGAGTCTGTAACTGAAAACAACATAATATTTTACATGTCACTTGATGTGTTGCATAGAATAAGTAATTGTGAATACTCAGGCGCAGGGTGTGTAGTGATGGGACCAATGTGATTATCGAGTCATTTGTATTCGCTTAAAAAAAAACGATTTATAGAAAAAGAAGATGTAAATAAGAAACTTAATCCTATTTAGGTACCTTAGCATGCCGATATTCTTATAGGATCTCGTATTGATTTGATTTTACAGATGGACGTTTGAATTGGTTTACGTAGTTTCACATTCGACTCCTCAGGCGTCTTATGTATGTTTATCAGCGTTTTTTCTATCACCAAATAGGTAATATCGTATTATGACCTCTATAAGTATTAAAACCTTCAATATCATTCTTTGAGTTGAGAGAATTTTCAATCGCTGCGAAGTTTCTCATGAATGTTTCATGATTTTTGCTAAAAATACTAAATAAACAACACATTATAAAATTGTACATCCATACATTTTGCCTTACAGATATTAGTATTTTGATCATACACGTCAGGTTTTATTCGGCCTAAACATTTGGGATATTTGCATCTGGCTTTGGCTTTGATGCTACGGAGCAAATTCATAGCGTACAAATTGCACAAATTTCGCAGCCGCTAGGCTTATTATTTTCATAAACTGGCGATACACTTCCACGAATAATATTCTATACAGAACTATGCTGGCTTTAACATCGCATCTATTTCTATTTACTCTGAAATACAGAAATAATTTATGCACTATCTCCAAAATTCAAATAATATCCTACACACTGAAGAAAAATTTTATTTCTGATCGAGTGCGAGTTCCAAGACTGTTTCAATATAAAATTAACGTGCATTATCAATTATAGACGTAACCGGATAAATATGTGGTGACTGAGTTTGTTACGGCGCTTCAATACTCAATACTCAATACTTCTTCGAAGCACTTGCCAAATGTTTGTCTCGAAGCGCTGGTAGGGCAAAAAAAGAATGAAACGTGTATATTCTTAAGAGCATTTGACTATTTGTAAGTACTAATTTAATTAGTCTACACAAATAAAGCTAATTTTGATTTTTGATTTTACTTATTAGGATTACTGAGACATGGCACATCACTAGCGGGCTAATGCAAGAAATGAGAATGCGTTAGAGGAATACAAATGAGGGCGGGCTTTCTTCCTCTGACTAGAGGCGTGAAGTTATATTTAACTGAGGAAAAACGTCAATGCCATCAACCATTACTTAGTTATACGATGATGTCGTTCCCTCTTACTAGTATAGTTGGAAATCTCATGCACAGTCTTACTTCTCATACGATCCATCCGTTCCATAGCTACGTACAAATAAATACCATCTACTAAAATCTCTTACACCCGTATTCACAAACGATGCTTTATTAAGTGAAGCAGCAACGCTATGCGAAGTCGAACGCACAGCGTTGAATAGAGCTCTGTGATTGGTGCGTGTGTTTCACTCCGCCACTCAAGTATTGTCTATGAATAGGGTCCCTGTGCGCGCACTCTGAGACCTCATAACGGGACTATTCCCAGCTCTCGTTCCCACCGCTGCAACTCCTGTGTAGCCGAGATCTACAGCTTGACCACCAATAAATATCCAACCAGTGAAGGTCAAGTTTGAGATGTCATAGTAATTTTTGTGAATACGAGTGTTAGAATCATCATCATCAGGTCAGTATTTGATCTCCACTGCAAGAGCAAGACTCTAAGGGCTATATTTCACCGGGACACCATGGCGGCGCAACCAGTCGCCGGCTACCAACAAAATGTATACAGTGTGCCTACCATGAGTTTACGTTAGGTGTGCTCGCTAGCGACTGCGTAAAAAAATGACATTTAAATGTATGACATATTGTGCAGCGCCCCTAGCGGCTACTTTCAAGAAATAAAATCTTTATAGAATTTTTTGACGTATTCGCTAGCGAGCTCACCTAACGTAAACTCATGGTACGCACACAGCTCTATAGAGAGTTACTCACCTGAGGTGTCCGTTTGGTTGCACAAAGCTGTATACATTTTGATGGTAGCGGCGACTGGTTGCGCCGCCATGGTGTCCCGGTGAAATATAGCCCTAAAAGTTAGCCAGAAATAAATGGAGAATTTAGTCTACACTGCCCACCATGGTCAGACAATATCTACTAATAGTCGTAACAAATCTTTTCATATCTAAGCTTTTTAAAATGGAGAATTTAGTCTACACTGCCCACTCTGGTCAAACCATACTAATAGTCGTAACAAATCTTTTCATATCTAAGATTTTTACTCATCATGTTGTTGGCAATGTCTCAAAGCCCATTATGGATAGGCTAATCCTATACATATAAATACCTGAGACTAAGATTAGCTATAA